GGTGCGACATGGATGGGGTTGTCGGCGGGGAGCGCACGCTGTCACCCCGAGGCAGCCCCTCACGCTCAGCTCTGAGTACGGTGATGGTCCGTATTAATTCACAGGAGCACAGCCATTCTCCAGGTGTGAGGGCATGTCCAGGTCCCCGGAGGTGCCACACCGAATAGGGCACGAAAGCTCACAGAAGTTTCCTTCCTTGCAGTGGATCTTTCAATTCCATCCTTCTCACTGCTGAATCCAGTTGTATGAGACATGCGCGCACACATTCCCTTCCGGGGATGGGGGGGGTAAAGGCCTCGGGTCCAATCAGGGGCCAAGGCTGTCAGTCATCATGTTGTCTGATTTGTCGGCAGTTGGAGACCTAATTACCTCTCTGAGCCGAACCCTAAAACCCCGCCCTCCTGCTTCCCCATCTCTCACTGCAACCTGACAGGATTTTAAATGGGCCATTTAATTAGCATTTTCTAAACATGTAGGGGCAGAATTAAGTTAACAGGCATCCCTTTAATTATTCATGAAAACAAATTAACCTTTAAATATCAGCGAGAGGAGGGCCTCGCCTGTTTTCCTTCGGCGCGGCTCCGTCGAGCCGATTTCCGAAATTTATTCAAATTTGTGGCCGCCCCGGACTCCTCCTCTTCCCGACCTTTACCCCCTTGTCGGGCCCTTGGCACCACTTCTGTATAAGGTGCGATTGTATGTGGGGCACTAAGTAGTTCATTATGTGACTGGCAGTCAAATCAGGTCAGATGGATGCAGCGCTGCCCCGAGCTGGGATTTGACAGCCGGCTAAGAGACGCGTAATAATAAGTTAATTAGACGTTCGCTCGCTGGACCCGGAGCCAAGCCATCGACAGTGTATATGGCTCCGGTGCAGGAATATATTTCACAAACACGCCCCGGATTCTCTTATCGCACACTGAGGTAGCGGTGGTTCTCTCATTAGGATTAAAACTCCGCTGGTTTCAACATTCGAATTGTCTCTAACTGAAGGGGGAAAAAAATGAACTTTTCAAAAGAAGTAGAATAAACCTATTTTAGCCGTGTTTACTTTTCGACTTCTGACAGCGGCACCTTTAATTAGTGCCCATGGACGCCGGGATCGGCGCATGCCCACAACACCCGCAATATGTGACCTTTAAATATCACACTTGCAGCAGCAGCCGCGTCGGCCGTTTGATGCAAAGTTCTGCGTACCAGAACGGACATGTGGCAAGAGGGGCTGGGGGATTTTCCCCTCAGTGAAGAGGGCCCATCAGACGACTGGAAGGGTAAAAAAGGATTCGTTTCATGCGAGTGGCTGGTGCATCCTGGGAATACGAGTGCCGACTGGCAGAGCCAGGAAATGGCGAGCTCTGGGCCAGATGACGTGTGTTAATACATGGATCTGGAACACTTTCGCAGGCTGCGGCGCTCTGGCCTTGGAGTTTCACGGGTTATTTTTAGGTCCATACATAATTTACTCGGCCGATGAAGAGGATTTATAAACACATGCAAATCGTCACGTGCAGCCCCCCAGCCCCCATCGGGCTCAGCCGCCAAACCGCGGAAAGGTCGAAGGGTGTTCTCCAGAAATGTCAATTCCCTGCGGACCAACGTCGCTGTTTTTCTGGGCCTGACCAGCGCCTGGTAGGACAGAAAGGCACTGACCGCTTACATGGTGCTGATTGTTGTGATTCATGGGTGCGGGGGCCCTGGGGGCCAGGCGCCGTTTGGAGAGTCATTGCTGTGGTCCTTTATCCATGCTGTGGGTCGGCCCACTTTATCACGGCACCATACTCATGTTCATTCATGCAGGCCCAGTATACACCTCGAACCCCCCTTTCTGCTGATCGATTTCATTTATTAAATTTATGTCGGGTTCCTCCAGATTCGCGGGGGTGTTGCTGAGTTACTGCGTTACTATAAATTTGTTAGTGCTATTAGCCTGATTCTTTAGGGTTTGACTACAGGATTATGTGTCTTTTTTCCATGATATTTTTGTTTTTATGGTTGGCGCACCTCGAGAACCCTTCATCCGGGCGGACTTAAACAGCTTATTCTTTATCCATTTATAACGACGGGCTTTTCAGCACGGTTAATCAACGGCCGGGAGGCCGACAGACCGGGTTACTTAACTCAACCTGCTCCCAATAGCAGCCAAGCCAGTAAGACAACTGGGTCAGTGAAGTAATGGCAGATTCGACCTTCAGAAGAGGGCAGTGGCCGGCCTCGTATCTGACGA